GATTTCGTTATATTCATAAGAATAGTATAAATTCACCTCTTCTCCCACTCAGCTATGGGTTAATTAGTAAGTTAATCAGTAAATATCACTAAACTATTATTATAAAAAAAAAGTTCTTACGATCTGAAAATATTTTCTGGTCTTAAATAACCCCCGAAAAAGGTTGATAAACCGTAAAAAACGAATCAATGAATATAGAGCGTTCCTTTTTCTTCTGTGAATTTTGGCGGCTTTGAGTTTAGCCTTTTACAGAAAATAATTTTTCAAATCAAATAGAAAGGTTGTCACTTAATACTTTTTTCTCTGATGTTTCTTCAGATTTCAGGATCACGTATCTTGTATTCCGTTAATACACTACACTTAGAATGAACAGTGGTTCCAGTACGAGCACCCAAAGTTAAGCAACGTTGAAGGCTGGTCAGTACTTAGGGTGCTGTAAGTTTGGATGTACGGATGGTGCAATGGATAATGTCTCGGTATTGTGAATCGGAGAGCCGAGTTTCAATTCCCGTTAGGTTCGTTAAATTCACTTACGCAAAAATATCTATTTCTTCTACCCCTATCAATGGGTTAATTAGTAAAACCTGTATTCCTAAATCATTATGTCCCTAAAAAAAATCTTACAATCTAAAAATATTTTTTGGCTTTAAATAACCTGCAAAAAGATTGATAAATAGTAAAAAACGAATTAATCAATATGGAGATATCTGCTTTTCATCTGTGGATTTTATAGGCCTAGCATTTTACAGAAAATAATTTTTTTAAATTAAATAGTTAGAATAGTTGTCTCCCAGAATACCATATTTTCTTTTTGCCTCAGCAATAATTTCAGAGTGAAACGATATTAAAGCCTGTTCGGGTCCCCTACTGACTACGTCATACATCCGTCATCCGGTCTAGCCTCTGTCTGCATGTACGGTACGGTGGAAGCATTTTGTGTATTGCATTTTACAGTGTATAAAAATATGATATATTTCCTTAAAAAAAAAAAAACTGCCGAGAGATCAATATTTGCATAAACATCTGGTACTACTACTATGACTGTTGCAACTATTAATAATAATTTAAAAACTGAACAACAGTACTTTCGTCTTCGAGGACATAAATAACAATTCAGTCAGTTATGTGCCATACGTGATACACGCTTAGGCGATCATGTATTTTTCCATACATGACTGACAAGGCAGATTTTTTTTCTCGCAGTAGGTTTACCATTTCTTTCTGCGGTAGACCAGTTGCCATCCAAGGCTATAGAACCTGGTCTGCTATTTACCTATAGCTGGAAGAAGAAGAAGAAGAAGAAGAAGAAGAAGAAGAAGAGGATTCTTACCTTTCTCAAGGGTATTAGCACGCGAGTTAATGTAAGGGATTCGACTTGAATTCGAACTCGGCTCTCTTCAATCCGAACCGTTGTCCATTACTCCACCGTGCCAATTGCTGGGAGACGACAGCAATGTATAATTAAATGAAAAACTAATAACTTCCTATGAATTGATAAAAAGCATACGGTTACAAGGCCGTTGAGCGCAGGAAGTAATGTCGTGCTCTGTGGGGCAAGACGCGGTTTAAAGAAAGAGAATAAATCAAATCAGAAAAAAGTGTTCAATATCTGCATCGCCTGACGCACATATTTGGGACAAATGTGAAGTTTGGGAAAAACAAAATGAAGAAATAGAGAAGATAAGGAAAGATTTTTGTGGTCTATTTTCATCATTCTCTTTTTATCCCCCTTTCTTTATCGTACTCACGTGGATAGAAGCTATAGGTATAATCTGAATTCGAATCTGACACTGTATAATGTTGGATCTATATAAGACTCTCGATCTACATATTTTGCAAGCATAAAACTATGTCTATCTATCTATCTATCTATCTATCTATCTATCTATCTATCTCTTCATTTCTATTTATCCATATATCTAATAGCGTTCATTATTAGCTATAGCTATATATCTCTCCCTATCTATCTATCTATCTATCTATCTATCTATCTATCTATCTATCTATCTATCTATCTATCTATCTCTTCATTTCTATTTATCCATATATCTAATAGCGTTCATTATCTAGCTATAGCTATATACCTCTGTCTCTCCCTCTATCTATCTATCTATCTATCTATCTATCTATCTATCTATCTATCTATCTCTCTCTCTCTCTATATATATATATATATATATATATGTGTGTGTGTGTGTGTGTGTGTGTGTGTGTGTGTAAGCAAATATATGGATATAGATCCGACAGTATGAAGAAAAATATACTGAAAAAACAAACAAAAATCCTAATATGCGATTATGCTGTTTTAATATTTAATGTCAACGTCGGACGTTTCGGTCTAATAGACCATTTTCAGGACATATTCATAAAACATAATTAACATAGACCATATACAATTCAACATGAAAAAGACGATGGATATAAAAGCAATACCAATCCAAACAGATAACTGAAATATATATATATATATATATATATATATATATATATATATATATATATATATATATATGTGTGTGTGTGTAATTTTTAAAGAAATGAGGACATTGTCGAATATTCACTGACACAAACGGGATTAGATATTACATAGCAGTCCAACACTCTTTTCTTTGTTTGTAACGATATTTTCCTATCTCTTAATACTTTGCTTAATTTCTGAAAGGCATGAGGAAATTGTCCAACATTCATTGCCATATAGGAGATTAGATATTACATAACAGTTCAGTACTCTTTGTTTCTAACGACATTTTCCTATCTCTTAATACTTTGCTTAGTTTCTGAAAGGCATGAAGAAATTGTTCAGTATTGATTAGCATATAGGAGATTAGATATTACATAGCAGTTCAGCACTCTTTTCTTTGTTTCTAACGGTATTTTCCTATCTCTTAATACTTTGCTTAATTTCTGAAAGGCATGACGAGATTGTCTAGCATTCACTATCATATAGGAGATTAGATATTACATAGAAGTTCATCACTCTCTTCTTTGTTTCTACCAAGATTTTCCTATCTCTTAACAATTTGCTTATTTTCTGAAAGGCATGAGGAGTTTGGCAAGCATACACTGCCATATAGGAGATTAGATATTACGTAGCAGTTCAGCAACCTTTTCGTTGTTTCTAACATTTTCCTATCTCTTCATACTTTACTTAAATTCATGCGGAAATTATCCAGCATTCACTGTTATACAGGAGTTTAGATATTACGTAGCAGTTCAGCACCTTTTCCTTGCTTTTAACAACATTTTCTTATCTCTTGATACTTTGCTTACTTTCTGAGAAAAGATTGTTCAGCTTACACGGCCCTATAGGTGATTCGATATGACATAGCAGTTTATCACTATTTCCTTTGTTTCCAACGACGGTTTCTTAATACTTTGCTTAGTTTCTGAAAGATACGGAGAACGTCTCCAGCATTACCTGCCATATAGTAGATTAGATATTACATAGCAGTTCAGCACTCCTTTCTTTGTTCTTAAAATAGTGGAAAACCATGATCATCCGCATCTAGAAAGGTAATCGCGAATACTTAAAGAGAGAAACCCCAAGAAGACAAAAATATTCATAAGGGAAAATGGGAATCAACGTTTTATGCAGATTATAGTACCTTGTAAGAAATATTTTCAGTATCAGTGTATTTGAAGATAAATCTACCACATCTATAATAATATCTTAGCATTGCAAATAACATTTTTCTTACGATGTCTTGTAACCACTGTCTGAACTGGTCTCAACACAAAACAAACAAATGAAAATCAATCTTTAAGTACAATCATTAACTCCTGTCATTAACATCAGAAACCTATTCACCAACATTTGAACCAATATCATCAATTTAAATTCCGTTGTCTCATTTGAGGGCTTTACTCTTTTTTTTCTGAAATTAAAAATCATTTTGTTTTCTCATCTTTTGTCATTTTTCAATATTACATCCATAATTCAAGTAGTTAACTTATAGATGCCTGATTTTTTTCCTTCGTGTTTTGTTATAAATTAATAGAGAATTTACTCTTTCAAATATAGATGTCTGTTACGTCAGTCTTCCTTCTTGTATTGTTTGAAAACGTTCTTTGCTACATATCAATGGCGTCTTGATTTTGATTTGGCAAACTCTTTTCACATCAAGTGGTTGTTCTTTAAATTTTGCTTCATTAGGACTTACTCTGGGATAAATTAGAGATTTTGAAAAGAAAAACAAACACAAAACTTTAAAAAATGTCAGTAAATATATTGATTGTTATATTATTCGAAACATTTTCTTTACATAAAAAAGACCAAAAAAAAAAAAAATGGAAGAAAGGCTGGCAGTGGTAAATTTCTTTCTTCCTGGTGAGCCAAATAAGCAGGCATATTGGAATTGCAATGAATTGGGTTTCCTTCAACGATTGGTCTTTTTCTTTCCTTTTTTTTTCTCTTCTTTCTTACTTTTATTTTTTTTTTCCATTTCTATCTTTTCTTTTTACTATGCATAGCTTAATTTCGGCACAAAGGCTAAACGTTTCCTTTTTATTTTTTTTTTACTTTTGTTTTATTTTTTCTCTTTTCTTTTCTTTTTTCTTTCTTTACTTTTTCCTTTTTTTCTTTTCTTTCCTTCTTTTTTCTTCTCTTTTATTTTCAACATTGGAGCCACTCAATCTATGCACCTAATAGAAAAGAAAGAAAAAAAGAAGACAAAAAAGAAACAAAAGAAAGAAAGAAACAAAAGAAAAATGAAAGAAAAAAAAAGAAAGAAAAGAAAGAAAAGAAAGAAAAAAAGAAAGAAAAGAAAAAAACAAAGATAAAAAAAGAAAGAAAAGAAAACTCATAGGTTTAGCATTTGTGCCAAAATTAAGCTACGCGTAATAAAGAATAATGGGGAAAAAAAAAGAATAAAAGCATATATTTTTTAGAAAATTGAGGACCTCGATTTAAAGAATAAAAAAAAATAAACCTCTGAGGGACGCTCGTTATCAATGAAAAATAAGGCGACTACCAATTATTATTATTCAACCTACACAGTAAGGTGATTCTGTGTGAATCAGAATTCCATTATTGGCGGTACAATATTAACAACATAAGATATGCAGAAGACACGGTGTTGACTGCAGATGACGAAAGAAATATAGAAGAACTCCTGGAGAAGAAAGTCAAGGAAAGCAATAAACGTCAGTTGCAAGAAGACAGAATGCATGGTTGTTGGCAAAAGGATGAGACCAAAATGCAAAATGCAAATAAAAATAATCATTATTTTCAGTAAATATACAAGAATAAAAAGGATTATAAGAGAAGGATGTGTCTTCCCACCAGACCTATTCAACCTATCTAGTGAGGCGAATCTGAGAAAATCAGAAGTTCTAACAATATTTATTATTAGCGGTTACAATATTAACAAAATAAGATATTCAGATGACACAGTGTTGATAGCAGACACCGAAAGGAAACTACAATAATTTCTACAGAAAGTAGTATAGGAAAAAGAGAAGAAGAGGCTAAACATCAATTGTAAGAAGACGGAATGCATGGTTGATAGCAAATGTATAACACGGCTCGATCTGGGGGGTTTCCCATGACGCTCTTTCCCACGCTTCGTTCATTCATCTGCTCTGCCCACGTTGTGTTCTTTGATCAGAGTGCAGTGAAGATCTAACTTTTGTCCGCACTTAGGCGCCGAATCGAATTGGATGAACCATGCTATGAAAAATGACACGAATCCTTCCTCCAGTGAAAACACAAATACCATAACAAATAACGAAAAAGGCCGCGGGTTTCATTTTCATTGGTTTTATATAATCGTTGATACAACAAAATTAAACCTTCTCATTTGACTCTCTATCGTGACAATGTATATCTTGCTTCTAAAACTTGGAGCATTTTAAACATTCACCCAAGTCGTCGGGACTTCTCATCGTCGGGACTTCTCGTCGTCGGGACTTCTCACCGTCGGGATTTCTCATCGTCGGGACTTCTCGTCGTCGGGACTTCTCATCGTCGGGACTTCTCGTCGTCGGGACTTCTCGTCATCAATTCTCTTGTTTGGATCAACGTCAAAGTGTTTTAACGGAAGATGGAAATTGCGATATTGAAATACGAAGGCGCATTGGGATAGCGAAAGATGCCTCCCAAAAGTTGTGCAGAGTATTAAGAAACAGAAAAATCGTTAGAAACAAAGAAGAGAGTACTGACCTATTATGTAATATCCGTCCTCCCATATGATAGTGAATGTTAGACAATCTCCTCACAAATGAAGAAGAGACTTGATGCATCTGGTTTAAGCATGGTTCAACACAAGGATGCTGAGAATAGCATGGACCGAACATGTGAGCAACGATGAAGTTTTATAAAAAATGAAAGCAAAAGGGACACTTATACTTAACATAAGGAGAAGTTATAATTTCTCGGGTGCATAGTGGGAAAAAAGGCTTGGAACATTTGATACTCACAGGACAGGTTGAAGGCAAGAGGGACAAAGGAAAATAACACATAACCAACTTAGCAAACTTGAGTAAATGGATGACAAAACAGGGTTTAGGAGAGGTAAAAAGACAACATTTATTAAGAGCTACAATGAGAAGGAAATTGTGGAGAGCCGTGATCACCAACTTCTTGTTACCTTTAATCAAGAACTGACACAAGAGAATCAATACTTTTATAGTCATTTATGAATCTATTGGGATTATGCATATCATCACCATCATCATCATCATCATCATTCGTTTCTTGACCAGGTGTCCATAGTTCCCTCGGCATATCTGTGTTGAAAGTCAATGACCTATTCATTCATAGGTAGCGTGGTTTGGCCAAACAGACCTATCCAGGTCAAATCACGGCCGATGTCCCCCGATTTGAAGGCTCGTCTGAGTTCTGGACACGTGGACGTTGATTATATCGTGGAAGACTTCACCGTGGCGCTTGACCTACGTCCTAGGAAGTTCTCTGTTGTGGCCGGTGACTTAGGTCTAAAGAGCTCCCCCCTCCACTCAGGTAATACAGTCCTGGATATACTACCAGTAGTCTCAAGTACATATTAAGCGTCCAACTTGAAAGTTCGCCTTGGTCGATGTCACATTGTCGTTGATTCTATCGCGGGAACTAGTCTAAGAAGCCTTCTGCTGAGAGATGCCGTATCATCTCTGCACTGGCTGCATCCATAGCTATAAAACCTACCTACTTGTGATAGATGTCTATAAACCTTATGGCAATGTTCAACAG